AAAGAAAAACATTTCCATAATCACAAGAGCATGTTTTTATGAATCACCATCAGTGATGATGCCAGGTCTTCGCGCAAAGGTGAGCGTATCCTGCAACACCGAAGGCACACGTCACAAACACATGCAAAGGCAAGTCAATTGTTTGTCTGAAAACAACGCGGGAACATATAGTAAAAGTCAACATATGGAATTGCATCGGACATGTAAGTTATACTGAGGCCTTGAATGTTATAACCTTATACGGTATAGTATAACTTCTGAAGATAGATATGTCTGTCTGTTTGTTGTTTAACGCCGCACTAGGCAATATTCCAGCTATATGCCGGCGGTCTGTAAATAATCGAGTCTGGACCAAACAATCCAGTGAATGACATCATGAGCATCGATCCACGCTATTGGACATCAGACATCAGTTCAGACATCCCACGTAAATGAACCATGTATGTGAATCAAAGCTACGTGACATGCCCGCCCCTTTATTAACAGGTTGTTTTTTCGAGCAAATTGATTTCCTATATACAAAAGAAAAACGCACACTGACCATTTGATTAAATTTGGTATGAGGTTTGTAAATGTATATTCCCTGTTCTGAAACATTTTGAACTGATGATATATATTAAAGTCAGGGGAAATTACTCATTATGGGTACATGTACATCTGAAAGTGGCATGCTTTCGCTAAAGTATGACACCTCTCATTAATGTATGCAGTAGCAGACAGGCCACGTACAGCCCGAGAGGCACTTGGCAAATTGTTAGTTTGTACTGTATCGAGTACCACTTACACCTGGTATCGCCACTGCAGTAGTCACGTTCAAACCATTTAATCATTTGTTGTTTCCCTTAGGTTGTGATAACTTCAGTTCCCTGTGTTGTGGTAGAAATATGACATGTTACTGGATATGCATAATTTGTATAAAATAAGCTTAACGTTGAATTAGAGTAGCGTACATCCTTTATTCATACATTAAAGTTCCCATCTTCAACCACAACACGCGCACAGATTGGCATGACCAAGCAGCCGAGTGTGAACACAACACATGGATTATTTGTCAACCGGAAACAGAAAAGAGGCATACATAACCCATAACACCATACCGACTATTGTGGTTCTGTAGAAGCGCTGCGTGTCCGACACACTTCTTCCATGAGTAGTAAACCTATGTGTTTACCTACATAGCGAATGCATGTCATATTGGTGATATACAATACTTCAATTCTCACACACACCTGGTGTCATCACTGAAAGTCCAATCATGTATATACAAATAATCAGTTCTATTACTGAAGTCTCCTTACTTGAGATCTATGTATTGCATGCTGCTGTAAATGGATAATTTGCATTTAGTTTGATCCACACAAAGCGGACAGTCTCCCATCACTGCGTGTTAGAGTATTTAAAAGTAACAAATAAATTACATGATATGTAAATTATACGATGACATGCATCAACCAAGTCAGCCAGCCTGACCACCCGATCCCGTTAGTCGCCTTTTACGACAAGCATAGTCGCCTTTTACGGCAAGCATGGGTTGCTGAAGACCTTTTCTACCCCGGAATCTTCACGGGTCTAAAAATATTTTCACTCATGGAATAAAAAAATATTGTGGTTATGTATAGGCGTAATTGATTATTAGTTTTTGTATCAAATAAAAACAGTAAATGCCTTTTGTGCCAGTTGATAAGAAAATTCCTTCCCATTTACCGAAGACCTGGTACCATTACATTCATGTAATCATCACCAGTAATGTGAACATGAAATAACATTAAACTGATCTGTAATTAAATGTATTGAGGGAAAAGGAACCTTCAGGGGTACCCACACAACACTTCATGACTGAAACTGTAAAGAAAAGAAAATACCCCCCTTGACAATCCGGTCACGCAGATAAATGCTCATGATGTCAATCATTGGTTTGTCTGGTTCGCACACGATTATGTACAAACCGCGGTCATATAGCTGTAATATATTAACACATTAATGTAAATACCAAATATGTACAACAATGTTCACGTATAACTTAGTTGGGGAGACCCTCTTCCACAACAGGTGTGTTCACTGGCAGATGTAGGCGGGATTTTCAGAAGCGAATGTTCGTTCATTACGTAATCGTATGTACATAATGTGTAACGTATGTAGTCGTATACATACTGAGTAATGTAGGTAATTGTATGTACATACTGAGTAATGTTAGTAATCGTATGTACATACTGAGTAATGTAAGCAATTGTATGTACATACTGAGTAGTGTAAGTAATCGTATGTACATACTGAGTAATGTAAGTAACTGTATGTACTTTCTGAGTAATGTAAGTAATCGCATGTACTTACTGAGTAATGTTAGTAATCGTATGTACATACTGAGTAATGTTAGTTATCGTATGTACATACTGATTAATGTAAGCAATAGTATGTACATACTGAGTAATGTTAGTGATCGTATGTACATACTGAGTAATGTAAGTAATCGTATGTACATACTGAGTAATGTAAGTAATCGTATGTACATAGTGAGTAATGTAAGTAATCGTATGTACAAAGAGAGTAATGTTAGTTATCGTATGTACATAGTGAGAAATGTTAGTTATCGAATGTACATACTGAGTAATGTTAGTTATCGTATGTACATACTGAGTAATGTAGGTAATCGTATGTACATACTGAGTAATGTTAGTGATCGTATGTACATACTGAGTAATGTTAGTAATCGTATGTACATACTGAGTAATGTTAGTAATCGTATGTACATACTGAGTAATGTTAGTAATTGTATGTACATACTGAGTAATGTAAGTAATTGTATGTACATACTGAGTAATGTAAGTAATCGTATGTACATACTGCGTAATGTTAGTAATCGTTTATACATACTGAGTAATGTTATTAATCGTATGTTCATACCGAGTAATGTTAGTAATCAGTATCAATCCAAACATGAGCGTGTTTCTATATGTTTGTATGACGTCTATTCTAACCGTGAGACTGCAAGGATAGGACGGATCATAAATACCGTCTCCGCTGCACGTGGTATCAGTCTCTCATGGCGTCATCTCAAGATTTCTGTATTTTGTATCCTAATCATTATAATCTGCCCCAGAAAATGTGCTGAACAACTTTGAAGAGTGGCTCTCTGGAAGTAATATAACACGTTAATGTTTAACACCAGGCGTTTTCTCTCACTACTTGTTCCCACCAGCAGGTTTCACACCACAGAGTTTGTGACATATAATAAATATATGATAATATATAATAAATAATAAATGAAAACGACAGAAATTTCCCTATACTTATGGAAATTTTTGCCCAATTCAGAAACGATAGTACGATTCCAAATATTTCATGAGCCTGTGTTTATGAATCACTACCAAAAGTGATGATGAGAGATTGGTCATTTAATTGCTACAGGTATGAGGAAGTCAGAGATGTATGCACCGTATGTATGTGATGTGATTAGTCGCCTCTCTTTACTGGCATACGAGTAGGAAACATGTTGCTGCCGACAATATCCAACATTGAGGTTCATTTTCTGCGTTCGTGTTTACGACCTTTCTGGAACTTATGTAGCGTCACTGGAGACTTGTCTGACTTGATGTTTAATCAAGCGCACACCCGGGTAGCTGTGTAATTGAACTTCCCTTGTAGCTTTCCTTGGACATTGTTTAGCAAGTCGTTTATAGCACACTTACGTTGCTTTCATGACACAGTGGATACGAAACTGCGAACGGTGCATGTCCTGATGCTATGTCGTGCAACTCACCTCCAACTAGTTGAACACGCGGCAGGTTCTACCGCCCGAATCGTTAAGGGAGCCGCCAGTTTTTCAATTTGTCTTTCTAGTTTTGTTTGTGTATCAATAATTTAACTAAACATGCACACTTGGGTGTATTTATTTGTTGTTGCAGCGACAATTACTCTTGTATGATACAGTTTGGCCTAACTAATAGTAAGAGTAACTGGAGTAACGGAGGACAAAGTTTGAAAAACGTTCAGTGATACAGGGATCAGGTATTGAACTTCAGAAAGTACATTTTGGGATCCGCCTGTTTAAGAGTAATGTTTTTAAATTGAGAACTTGGACAAAAAATCAGTGACTACAGATGCTGTCCGCTGTAATCTTTTGTCGAGCTGTGCCATGTGTTCCAGTGTACCATGTGTACCATGTGTCGAGCTGTACCATGTGTACCACGTGTACCATGTGTACCATGTGTTCCAGTGTACCATGTGTTCCAGTGTTCCCGTGTACCATGTGTACCATGTGTTCCAGTGTACCATGTGTCGAGCTGTACCACGTGTACCATGTGTACCATGTCTACCATGTGTTCCAGTGTACCATGTGTTCCAGTGTACCATGTGTTCCAGTGTACCATGTGTTCCAGTGTACCATGTGTCCCAGTGTACCATGTGTTCCAGTGTACCATGTGTTCCAGTCTACCATGTGTTCCAGTGTACCATGTGTTCCAGTGTACCATGTGTTCCAGTCTACCATGTGTTCCAGTGTACCATGTGTTCCAGTGTACCATGTGTTCCAGTCTACCATGTGTTCCAGTCTACCATGTGTTCCAGTGTACCATGTGTTCCAGTGTACCATGTGTTCCAGTGTACCATGTGTTCCAGTGTACCATGTGTTCCAGTCTACCATGTGTTCCAGTGTACCATGTGTTCCAGTGTACCATGTGTTCCAGTGTACCATGTGTTCCAGTGTACCATGTGTTCCAGTGTACCATGTGTTCCAGTCTACCATGTGTTCCAGTGTACCATGTGTTCCAGTCTACCATGTGTTCCAGTGTACCATGTGTTCCAGTGTACCATGTGTTCCAGTGTACCATGTGTTCCAGTGACAATGTGTTCCAGTGTACCATGTGTTCCAGTGTACCATGTGTTCCAGTATTGTTAAGGTGAACAATTGAATAGAATATATGCTATAAAAAGATAAATGTGCCCTGACAAATTCAGGTCAGGGCACATGTCACGTGATTTAGACTTTGTTATCAGTAATTGAATACTGTTTCCCAGTCGATGAGCGTCATAACTTGGTCTGTGCAAGAGTCACCATGTTCCTGTTGGTTCTTGCTCTGACTGTTCCTGCCTTCGGGGTTCGTCCAGGATTCCAATCCACTGGCACTCTGGAGTGGAGGGACTGTGGTATGTACACAGATTCACATACTCTCGGGACATATCAAAACTGTTTTTTTAATGCTCAGTTGACAAATCAAATGACTTGAATTGAATTGTTTGATAGGCGTTACTCAGCAGTTGACGGATGACAAAGTGGAGATATTTTATGGATAACAGCTTCTATATTTACAGTAAAGGCAACGTTTCGGTATAGATCCTTCTACCGTCGTTGCTAGATAAGGATGTATACCGGAACGCACCTTGACGTAAATAAAGAAGTTGTTATCCACAAATAATCTCCACTTTGTAATCAAATTACATTTTTTAAATTACTTCTCACGTCGTGGGTGCAGCTGACGATAGATAGATATAATATGTCAAGGTCGGGGCTTTGAGTATACTAGTTGGTCTTATCAGTCTAATCTGTAACTGTGCGCCCTACTGACCACGTGGAACAAGGCATAGTGTCTCCTCTACGACCAATATCTAATTATGTTTTAAAACCCACGTCAGCACTGATGACAAGACGGATATCCATCACCTATATGAAATACAACCCAGCGCTGACAGGCAATGTATCAATATGTGTAATGTTGTGAAACCGAAGTCAGCACTGACAGTAAACGGCACAACCCTTTCCCATGTTCTGAAATACAACACAGACTGACAGTGAACGGCACAACCCTGTCCCATGTTCTGAAATACAACACAGACTGACAGTGAACGGCACAACCCTGTCCCATGTTCTGAAATACAACACAGACTGACAGTGAACGGCACAACCCTGTCCCATGTTCTGAAATACAACACAGCACTGAAAGTAAACGGTACAACCCTGTCCCATGTTCTGAAATACAACACAGCACTGAAAGTAAACGGTCAACCCTGTCCCATGTTCTGAAATACAACACAGACTGACAGTGAAAGGCACAACCCTGTCCCATGTTCTGAAATACAACACAGCACTGAAAGTAAACGGTCAACCCTGTCCCATGTTCTGAAATACAACACAGACTGACAGTGAACGGCACAACCCTGTCCCATGTTCTGAAATACAACACAGCACTAACAGTAAACGGTACAACCCTGTCCCATGTTCTGAAATACAACACAGCACTGAAAGTAAACGGTCAAACCTGTCCCATGTTCTGAAATACAACACAGACTGACAGTGAACGGCACAACCCTGTCCCATGTTCTGAAATACAACACAGCACTGAAAGTAAACAGTACAACCCTGTCCTATGTTCTGAAATACAACACAACACTAACAGTAAACGGTACAACCCTGTCCTATGTACTGAAATACAACACAGCACTGACAGTGACCTTAACCGAGAGTAGTATTCATGCAAACTGTGTTGATGACGGGTGCTACCGGTAGGGCAGGACATGCTTATCCTTTTTCGCGAACACATGATGTCATCGCTGATTTTCAGCGGTCAATTTATGTAGGTTCTACCAAATGGAATCTGTTTCGGCGGATAATCAATACAGGTTATTCTCTTGCATTGACGTGTTATGTTTACTATGTATTTTTTTCAAAAAATACCCGTACATAATGTCTCACTAGAAGAGTAACAATGTGATCTTCCAGGTGTGCAAGGTATTGCTGTCTCTAGTTCAGTTCAAGATCACATTGCGTCCACGCCGGCGTCCGAACACATTAGGTCTTCAGCAACACTGGCCCTACGAAGCTAAAGGATGCTTGTTTCCAACTATTATAACATACATAACAAAGTGATTCGAATCCCGTAGAAACTATATCCATTCCTGTGTCAGTGGGTTCCACCAAACGTCTCTATGTGCCTCACGCCGCTACATGTCTGAGGTACTGTTCACACCCTTTTAATACAAATGTATTCACACACTATGTGATGTTCTTGAAATGGTTTGCTCGGTTTATAAACATCCATAACAAATAGATCCTGCTTAAACTGACTGGTTTGTTTGCTACGGATACAGTATTTGCATTGCATCTCCAGCCATCAGATGCTGTAAGTACATACAATGCATGAAGCCAAAAAAAAATCCAAAGCACTTTTAGGAATTTTTTACCAAGTTTCATTTCAGGCGTTGGTGACTCATGGGTGTCCATACAACAACTGAATGCCAGCCCGAGTCCAATCAAACTTCCCGGTGACTTCATGGTCTCCTTGGATGGAACCATCACACACAATCTTGCAGATGAACTCACTTTGGATGTACTCCTAGAGAAGGCGATGCTTGGCCGCTATACAAAGTGGCCTTGCGCTCACGATGTTGGCACATGGTGAGTGTATCCTTGTACACCAATTTGTAAAACGTCCACTCATTACCATCAATTTTAACATTTCCTTACAATGTGTTTAGCTGAACTCCCTCCAATAACCGACAGGGACACATGTGTCTCGTCAAGATCAAAGTACATTTTATCAAGCAGATACCAGGTGTTCGCCAAAAGGTGATCATGCCCAACCGGTGACACCCGTCAAAAACACATTCAAAGGCCAGTCAATTGTTCACTTGAAAGCTTTACTGAGGTCATGAATGTTGTAACTTTGTTGTGTTGTGAACAACTTCTAAGCAAGAGTCGTATGACATTGTGAAATCTTTAAAGAAAGAGCATGCTCGAATGTATCTCAGAAGTTGTGAAATGTAAACGCCAAAGGCTGGAGCCGCTGGAATATTGCCCAAGATGAAGGGAACGTTGACTACAGGAAAGTTGAAGTCATCGCTCTTGTCATACAGTCTTGTAGAGAGTATTTCAGCTGAATCTTTATACATAGATATAAATATGAAACAGATAAGGCGGTCTCTATGGTCTCCTTTGTTTCTTGTTCAGGTGGGTAAATCAGTGGAAGGGAATTGGCTATTTCACTGTTATTGAACGTTATCAGATCAACGATACACCTGAAGCTTAAATTAAACTTTTTGGCCAAGTTACTTTGTTTTGACTTTGCCAATCCGAGCAGAAATTCCGATTCATATACATACAGAAACAGATCCGCAAGCAATTTGATTCGGCCGAAAAAGTGAAACAGTTATCTGGTAATTTTGTCCTGGATCCAATGATGGTGGCACCTGCGTCACCATCCTTGGTTCCATCTGTAAAAATAGACCTGTAAGTATCATATTTGTTTCGTAATTGATGATATTCTTGTTGATAAGTACGTTGATTTGTTTCAGATTTTTACAATTTAGTTAAGGTTAGATCCACAGCTGGTTTACTAACTGCCAAGGTGGGGAAGACAAAAGTTGTTTTTTTTTATTGTGGAGGTCTACGTCATACATCCTTTTACAAATACAGATTATACACAAACTTTTGTTTTACTCATCAAACATGGGCCACAGACACCCCAATACAGCAGTATTATAATGGTTCTGCCAACCGACCATTTCCAAAAAAACAACATATTTACATACCCATGAAGCAAGAATCAATAAATTTACAGATTGTTAATTTAGCTGCCGTGAGAGAAAGCGAGAGAGGCGACAACATAACACCCTACCCTTATATAGGCCCCACATATCAGCGCCATCTACTGCCATAATTACCTCCCTTGATTATAGAACTTACCACTCGTAGAAAGTAGTTTCCCTCTAATTCACTACTTCAAACGAGGGAAACATCATATCCCGTCCAGGTTTAGGTATTGGTACAACTATAGCATCACGCCATGAAGAAGGAAGTTTATCTGATATCCAGATATCATCAAAAATCAACAAAAGGGTTTCTAAACACGGCTCTGGTAAGTGCTTCAGGAGTTGATAGTGTATATTATCAGCTCCTGTAGCAGCATCATGAGATTGTCCAGGACATGAGTATGAAACTCATGGATTGAAAATATTGCGTGTAATCTTCCCCATTATCTGATGCAAAATTGATATACTCTTTAAAAAATGAAACGCAATACGGATATCTATGGCCATCAACACGCCGGCCATCAGCCATCAGCCAAGATCGGGACGAGCAATAGTAACCACTCCCGCCCAAGATCGCCACACCCAACTGCGCCACCTACGTGAAAGGACGACCACAGACACCTCAACCGCATCCCAAATACCCGGACTGCGCAGAATCTCCGACCAGACTGTACGAAAAGAGCAAGACGTCCTGTTCGACGCGTCATATTGAGTCGACAAGATCGGCAACAATGAATGCAGGGTATGGCGTCAACTGCGATGGAGAGATGTCTGGTTCAGCGACGAAACAAGTTTTCTCCTCCGTCGAGGGGATAGAAGGGCACGGGTCTGCAGACGTCGGGGAGAACGTTACGGCGGAAATTGTGTACAGGAAGTGGACAGGTTTGGTTGGGGTAGCGTTATGATGTGGGTGGATATCTCTTATCATGGCAGGACAGGTTTGGTCCATATCCAGGGTAATCTTACGGCTCAACGATACATCAAGGAAATTCTCCTACCACACGTCCTCCTAATTGCAGCCAACGGCAACGGCGTATTCCAGCAGGACAACGCTCGACCGCATAGTGCACGGATCACAAGAGCATGTCTACACAACAACAGCAGTTGTTTTTTGCGTTGCAGGCCGAGTGGGCTACCATTCCCTAGGATGTCATGGGTAGATGTCAGACTGCTATCGATTCCAACATGGGACATACGCACTATTTATGGTAGCTGACCTTCACCTTGGACTTTTCCTATGCACCGATAGCTGAGATGACTACAATCACCAAGAGTTCTCTCCACAACATTTTAGCTCAATACCCTGTACAGTTCCTCGTATAAATGTAATTTCCTACCTCAAACAAATCTGCCTTTGTGTTTATTTTTGTGAAGAGAATAGTTTTCTTCTTTTGCTGATTTTGTTATTTTGGGAATTGAGGGACATAGTTTGAGGAAGAAGAATATTTTTGCAACCGTTTCTCCCAGTGTATATGCTTTATCTCATTAATTAGTTAATAGTTCATCTCCATTCTTAATATTGTGGGTGCTAGATTTTGTACCCTTACCTTTTATTTTCTCCATCATGTTCCATACCTTGGACATGGGTGTTCGTGAATTTAAGTTTGAAACATAGCTTTGTTCAGATTGGCGTTTGTTATGTTTTAGCATTTAAAATTTTGAAATTGTTCAAATTATGGACGACAGGATAGCGACGGAAACTGTTCAGCCTTTTCCTTGCCTTCTTAGCTTGTTTGCAGTCATTGTTAAACTATGGTTTACCGATGTGTGGATTTGTAGAGGACTTTGAAATACATTCATCAGCTATTTTATTTAATTCGTCAGACAATATTTGTACAGGGTCGGGAACGACAATAAAGAGATCAGACATTAAATTATTGGATGTAAGTATTTCAAACATAGGTCAGTCAGATTTATTAAAGTTTCATCCTGTTGAAGGAGAAACATCGGACGTTTAAAATGGTAGGAATATGGTCACTTCCACAAAGGTCATCTTGGATAAATCAGTAGCAAAGTAGGATCCTGCACCGGGGTGTAGATATGCTTCTAAACAATCATTATGAATACACAAGTCGTTGTTGGAAATAAAAGTTTCTAAAAGCTTCCCCTTGCTTCTTGCCTGAACACTACCTAAAGTAGATTGTGCCCTTTTAAATCGCCCATTATAATACAGGGCTTGGGGAGTTGATCATAGAGAGCTTAAAGTTCAGACTGTCGGAGAGAAGGAGATGGTGGAATATAGAGCGAGCACAATTTAAAAACAACGTGCAAAGTTACACAGATTGCAACAGCTTTAGGAGAGAAGTAAGATGAACGGGGCTATGGATGACGTCATGTTTTTTCTTCACATTAAAGAACCTTCAGAGGCTTTATGCATTCCGAGGTAAATGGGGATGCTTCATGGTTTCTCGGACGTTTTAATGGCTCAACATGAGTACGTTTCCACTGTACTGACAGTCCGCCCCATTGGGGTCCAGGTTAGAACGGGTCCACAGCAACCTAGGCCTGTCGGAAGAGGTGACTTAAAAGATCGGGGGATGAGGCTTGGGCACTATAAGGCTATACAAAATTACAGATTGCATCGTTTACCCTTTCTTTGTGTGAATGGAAATACTTATTCTGTCACTGGTCACGGCGAAGGCATAGAAAGTCCACGAAAATGCAATACTTCAGTAACTGATAATGGGCCAGTGCCTACATGTCTTCTGAGTCTAAACGACTGAGGCATGCTACAACTAGTACCATATCGTTTATGCATAGTCCATCAGATTACAGTACGGAGAGGTAATTTTGTCTTCTACGGTTTCATATTTTTATGTACATGTAGTTCTTAATATGGATCGTTGTATATCTAGGATCCACATGTGCACATTGGCAATAAAACAGGTAACTTGTCAACCTGCCAAAGATATTTGTTTGAGACTTGATATGTAACATGGCGTCATGGGTGATAGAGGCCAAAGTGACGAAGGCATTAAGCTGGAATAACCCTGCCGCCATACCTAGCCAGGGCATTTGTTGAACATCCGTTCACGCTGTTACGTTTCTCCTCAGCCACTACACTGATCCCTGCCACTTCCTGAACCGCTACCTGAACCGGGCATCTTGTCCTCCACAACTGACCGCCAACGGTATCCCATGTACCTGTCCCTTCAACCCTGACAGACTCCACATGCCGCCCACTAGGTTCACCGTCTCCAGTATCAGTGACACCTGGAAGTTTATGGCCTCTGTGAGTAAACCATGGACCCAAACTATCCAATAAATGTGTTAACTGAAGGCAAGAGATATTAATAATTGCATATTGACCGACTTGGTAATGGTTGTAACGTTACGATAAATCAAACATCGGAGTCCACCAGTCTGTCTTATTGAAGGTCGTCCTGTTTCAGGGTGAGTACCACGTGAAGATTACCCTGAACGACAAACACACCAGACAGCTACGTGGATGTGTCGAGGCCTATCTGAGTATCGACGTATAGAGAAACCACGCAGAGCAGGACTGACTCATGACATGATTTATAAGATATTTATCTCAGCATATATGAAATGCAGATTCCCAATACCCTACCCCAGAAAGATACCTGAATTAGTAGGCCTACGTCACCCACACTCAAAATGTTAACCACAAGGGACACATCGACAAATGATCTGACTTAGGATGGGCGCATTTGCTCATTATCCTTCTTAATCAGCCATTCCAGTTTCCACTCAAACACAGATTGACTGCCTACAGATGCCCTGACTAACACAGATTGACTGCCTACAGATGTCCTGACTAACACAGATTGACTGCCTACAGATGTCCTGACTAACACAGATTGACTGCCTACAGATGTCCTGACTAACACAGATTGACTGCCTACAGATGTCCTGACTAACACAGATTGACTGCCTACAGATGTCCTGACTAACACAGATTGACTGCCTACAGATGTCCTGACTAACACAGATTGACTGCCTACAGATGTCCTGACTAATTTAGAATTACCATGTATCCTCGTTCAAGCCTATCTGTTGGATGCCTAGATGCAACACTGGTAAATATATCATATGTATGATTAAGGGTGATCAATAAAATATAGCAATCATTTACTTGTCCGTATCATTTAATTCACCTGGGAATATTTGATTCACAATAAACAAAAGTGGCAAAACCATTCCCATAACCCTACGACACCTCTGCTGGCAGCAGAGTCCAGTGTGTGTCCACATCATGAGGATGTTATTTGTGTGAATCACTTTCACTTAGTGACGATATTAGGTCTCTGCGGGCACAAATTGATCAAGTCAAAATATTGATAGTAAAGGATGATCTCGCCAAGATGAAAACTACCAAGCTAACTGTTGCGTGATTACGTTGTCAATCGAGCGGAGAGATACAGAACTACTTTATGGGAATTCCTCAGTGTCTACAAATAACGTCAAATAGGGGCGGTATCATCGTGCGATCCAGGCTATGAATGATGCAGTATTTAAATCCTGACAGATCATGATATGTCAGGTCACCGAAATAAAGCGTCCATTTGAAGTTAAAATAGAGAATGCTCTACTTGCCAAAGGAAATCACTAAGCTCCATACTGTCGATTGCCAATATGCATCGCGAATTCAAACCTCGCCGCCAAAAGCGATAAAACCTTTGCGCATCATGGAAATTGCTCACGTCAGGCACTGTTTTCATCAGCTGATGGACGTCACCAAATACAACTTCAATCCTAAATATGGAATTGCATCATTTGGGTCACAAATCAAATGTGGAAAAAACTTTATGAAAGTCTACAAAGGCACTGCAGTCGTGTGGTGCTCTTTGAAATCTTCGTACAAAGAGCATACTGGTTTGTACCTCAAAGTACATTGACATACTTGTTGAGGCATTGTGTTTCCTGGTGGTTTCTCTGTACTTGTAAGCGGCCGCAGAATCTCTGTACTGATACGCAGCAACAGAAAATTAACATATCATATAGTTCCAACAAAATCAGTGAATGCGCTATCGTAAAACTAAAATGTCTGGTCAATCAGTGGATTGTGTTGTCAAGACTCGATTGTTTACATGGCCATATTACTGCTGCGCGGCGTAAGGGAACAAACATACACTGTTTTGTGCAAGTTGTGTGGGTACCGGATGCTACTGAAAGAGCAGGACATTTTCCCAAACTCCTTTTTCGGCGATCCGTTTATATGATACACACCACTATTTTATCTTTTAGGTCCAATGGAATCTGTTTCGACAGATAATACAATAGTAATACATTTAATTCGTAAGATTGGGGTATGTTTTCATACGTAACATAGCATGTTGTGTACTATTTTTCCACTAGTAACATTCTAGTCCAAACAATCGACAGCAAACTCTGAAAGCACGGGCACGATTACGTCAACTGACCTATGTATAGTTGTCATATGGTCCTCGCAACCAGACAAGGTCTCCTTTGATATTACCGTATGCTTTAGTTGTTGTTGTTCTGATTTGGATGTATGACGTCAGTGATGTGATCAGGTTTATATGTGATATGGTTCTGTGTCCTTTTGGAGACTGGAGGGTGTATATCAGACTCGTTTGTGTGAAATATAGTCTTTTAAACCCGGCAAGTTTAGCACATCGGCATACACGTATGTGATAACAAAACAAAATCTTTTTGTTTCACAAGATACTCCTCTTACCAACACGTCTTTACCCGAACGGCCATTACAAATAAATAGATCAAAGTTTTAAAATGACTTCAATAAAGGTGCGTTTATAGTTGTTAGCTCTGTGTGTATCTAATCTTATACAACCATGTCCTACCCAGTTGTTGATCACCTGCTTCGTAAGGCTCCCAGCATCTGTACCGACAGCCAAGCCTTTCTTTATTATGTGTGGCTGTGCGTATGTGTGGATATGTGAGTAAGTAAGTACGGGAGTAAGGTTTTACGCCGCTTTTTGCAATATTTCAGCAATATCACGGTGGGGGACACCAGAAATGGACTTCACACATTGTACCCATGTGGGGAATCGAACCCGGGCCTTCGGCGTGACGAGCGAACGCTTTAACCACTAAGCTATCCCACCACCCCGCCTGTAAATGTGTATGTGTGTATGTACACGTGCGTGTGTTTGTGAGTGTGTATGTGTAAATGTCTGTGTCTGTATTTATGTGTATATGTGTGTATGTGCGTATGCGTGTGTGTCCGTTTATATTTGTATGTGTATGCGCGTGTGTGTTTGTGTCTGTCTGTGCATGTTTGTGTCTGTGTTTATATGCGTACATGTGTGTGTATGTGTGTGTCTGTGTTAATGTGTGTATATGTGTGCGTGCGTGAATGTTTGTGTTTATATGTGCACATGTGTATACGTGTGTATATTTGTGAGTGTGTGTCTGTGTTTATGTGTGTATATGTGTATGTGTCTGCGAGTGTGCATGTGTGTTTGTGTCTGTGTATATCTATGTGTGCGTAGTGTTTGTGTGCGTTTCTGCATTTATGTCTGTATATGTGTGTGTTTGTGTGTGTTTTCGTGTTTGTGTGTATGTGTGTTTGTGTATGTGTGTTTTTGTATATGTAGGTGGGTATATTTGTGTGTGTTTATGGTGTAAGCTTCACACAATATCACGCTAAATTACAAAACAGAAAGCATTTCATTATGATTCCACATTTGTTGGCAGCTGCAACTATTGGCATGCCATCGGTTGAGCAGGATGCGCTCACCTTTTCCTGAACACCGTATATCATTACTAGTCGATAGTGATTCATAAGTACATGCCGAAACTGTAGAATAAACTTGAACATTCAAAGTTGCTAAAACATCTAAAAAAAACAGATGCATTCGTTGTTTTCACCCTTCAACTAGATAGGAAGCGTTTTATCACGAGACAAGGATTATTCTAAATAGACAGACAAAACCTCATTTTTTGCAATTTATTTGTCTTACTTTCAACCATCAAATAGACACGTAACTTCACTCAGGTCAGGACCTGGTATTTACACAACGGTATCAAGGTAGGCTTCCACACAGCCACGAAGTTGGTTAGTGCGCTTGTCGTTCATGGTGATCTTTACGTGTAACTCGCCCTGGAAATAAACGGGGTGATGTCAAATGTAAGTATAGGAATATACCAAATACATGGTGAACAACTGTGGCGTTACTAAAAGTCATCAAACGGTTATTCGCTTTGTTTAACTTTTGTCAGTCTTTGGGTCTGAGTTAGAATAACACACTGACGCGTAGAAATTATCAATTATTATGTCAAAATCGTCTTACCATTCTTTCATAAGTGTCGGTTTCTTCTCCTACACAATCGGTTATTAGTGCAGCGTTCTTTGAAAATCAATCATATTATTTGGTTTACAGGCGTCACTTACATCATCTAAAATAAGCTTCCAGAAATCCCCGATGCTAGTGACGGTGAACTTGGATGGGGGCAGGTGGAGCTTCATGGGGCTGAAGGGGCAGGTGCAGGGGAGGCCGTTGGCAGTCAGCTGGGGCGGACAGGTGCCCCGATTTTTGAAGGTGTCCAGGAAGTGACAGGGATCGGTGTAGTGGCTGTGGGTACATCAATCAATCTGAGATCGTTGTAACGCAGTATACGCTGTCATTGTAACACATAACCTACTATACACTGGCAATGTAACACATAACCTAGTATACACTGTCATTGTAACACATAACCTACAATACACTGTCATTGTAACACATAACCTAGTATATACTATCATTGTAACACATAACCGAGTATACACTGTCAATGTAAAACATAACCTAGTATACTCTGTCATTGTAACACATAACCTAGTATACACTGTCATTATTACACATAACCTATTATACACTGTCATTGTAACACATAACCTAGTATATACTATCATTGTAACACATAACCGAGTATACACTGTCAATGTAAAACATAACCTAGTATACTCTGTCATTGTAACACATAACCTAGTATACACTGTCATTGCAACACACAACCTAGTATACACTGTCATTGTAACACATTACCTAGTATACACTGTCGTTGTAACGTATGTCCTTGTATACAATGTCATTGTAACACATAACCAGTATATATTGTTATTGTAACATATTTTCTGGTATACACTGTCATTGTAACGTATATCCTAGTATGCACTGTCATTGTAACACATAACCTAGTATATACTGTCATTGTAACATATTTTCTAGTATACACTTTCATTGTAACGTATCTCCTTGTATATATTGTCATATTAAAACCTAACCTAGTATACACTGTCATTGTAACATATTTTCTGGTATACACTATCATTGTAACGTATATCCTAGTATGCACTGTCATTGCAACGTATATCCTAGTATAAATTGTCATTGTAACATATTTTCTTGTATACACTGTCATTGTAACGTATATCCTAGTATAAATTGTCATTGTAACATATTTTCTTGTATACACTGTCATTGTAACGTATATCCTAGTATGCACTGTCATTGTAACGTTTGTCCTAGTATACACTGTCATTGTAACACACAACCTAGTATACACTGTCATTGTAACACACAACCTAGTATGCACTGTCATTGTAACACATTACCTAGTATACACTGTCATTGTAACGTATGTCCTAGTATACACTGTCATTGTAACACATAACCTAGTAACTCTCATTGTAACGTATCTCCTTGTATATACTGTCATAGTGGTTTGATCGTCGAAGGAAACGGTCGCACGTAACATCGCTCTGAGAAAAGTTCTACTGATCTCATGATCTGTACAGCTGTACTACTTGAGGAAGTACCTACTTACAGCTGAGCATTACAGGAAAACAATGCCGTGAAAACGAAGTTTCTAGGAAACTGAGTTTAATGTTGTTTTTGGTTAAAATCTGTAGAACTATTTGCAATAACAAAACTATCTCGCCACGCATGTGTTAACAACCCAAGCCTGCCCAACAATGGAGTCTCCACCAGAGACGCACAGTGAGCGCTCGGGTACTGATTGGCCAACAATAGAAGAATCCGACGAGGTCTACAGTACACAGCCCAGCGATGAACAGGACAAAGCCATGTATCTGGAGATTAAGATAAAACTCGGACACAAAGAAAAGCGATCATTCATGGAAAGCTTACTTTGTATCTACGACAAAAGCATGAAGGAAATCAATCACGTCAGAGAGAGCTTATACGATCATGCGAAGGATAATTGTGACAACTTTCCACCAGGATCGCTTGTCAAACGACGAAATACAAATGGCGGTGTTCACAATGCCCTCGATGTAAAAAATGCGCACAAACAGACTGCCCAGGCACATGCACACCCTGGTGCATCCACTGCAAATCCACCCAACACACTTCACTCTCAAACCAATGCCCATACAGACACACACTCACCCAGCAGGCCAACAAACACATAAACATAGACACGGCTAAAATCCAAACACGAAAATTTGCTACACCTGCATCTAAACCACTCCTCCCTACACCACACCCAAACACCATCCCACAAACAAACACCACACCCATAACCGACAGCTCTGACTGGGGCCCCTACCGAGAAACCGCACCCACCTCACACATACAAGCAGCCACTCAACCAACCACGAACCCTCCCACATCTCACATAGCCAAAACATCAACCCCCGCATGCAAAACAAACCTCAAAATGACCACCACAACACGACCCTCATCCAAGCACCCTACAGCCCATATGGTAAGCAAGTCCCACAAGCAAGCACAACAACAAAACACAAACACTATGAAATCATCAGCTACACCCATCCCACAAACACCTTCACAATCCTCCACATCACATGCCTCCCCCATGGAAACTCAATCAGCTAAACCTAATCTAACCTATGACGAAGATTTCTCCACTACTGAGGAAACAATAGACACTACTCCAACTAAAACAAACCAAACTCCCCAACCAGCCAACACCCAAAACCTAAACAACCTCACCTTACTCCTAGCATACATGCATAGTCAAAACTCACCAAAAGCTAGCATGAAATCCTTCTACAAAGTAGCTTTCAATCTAAAATTAACCGATCTTCCCTTCTTCCTCTTTAACCTCCATCTAAAAGAACTCACCGAATAAAATAAAAAATAAAAAATAAATCACCAATCACCCGAACCCAATATTCGAAGGACTAAATATTTTTCAGTGGAACGCCAACGGACTCACCTCCCACGGCCATGAACTAAAAACTAAATTTAAACTAAATAAAGGCCCTCACATTGCTTGTATACAGGAAACCAAATTCTCAAAAAAATCCAAATTCACACTACCTAACTACAACTCAGTTAGAACTGACAGAGCTAAACCGAAAACAAGAAGAGCCGCAGGAGGACTAATCATATTTATCAGGGAAGATATAAATTACGAAGAAATAAAAATAGACACGCCAAACCTAGAAGCCAACGGCATTAAAATCACATTAAATAACCGAAACATAAACATCATAAATATTTACCACTGGGCGGAACAAAAAGTCCAACCTGAGGATCTAAACAAACTACTCCAAATAAGCGATAAATCTACTATATTCCTAGGAGACTTTAACGCTCACCATCCTACATGGAGCATAGATGATAAAATAGATAATCATGGCAAATTAATCTCCGAATGGATAGAAACAAACGACCTAGTACTCCTTAATAGCAACCAACCCACGAGGTACGATAAGATAAACCAAAAAATGTCGGCTATCGACCTAACCATATGCACCGCAGATCTAGCCCAAAGTACTCAATGGGAAGTGCACGACGTCCCGCTAGGTAGTGACCACTTCCCCATAAACATAACCATAGGAAATACAAACGTACCAATCCAAACAGAAAACCAAGAACCAAAATTCCATTACAATAAAGCTAACTGGGACCAATTCCAAGATATCTGCAACGAAGCTAACCTAAACGAAATAGAAAATAATGATCCAGAAACCTATTGTAAAAACCTAACAGACTATATAATAAACGCAGCCAAAACCTCCATCCCCTTCAAAACATCTAAGACAGGCAAACCGACGGTACCATGGTGGAATGAGGAAATAGAACAGACTAGACGAAAACGTAAATCAGCCTTCAATAAAGCAAAACGCGACTACAAATATTTAAACATAGCCCACGAACTAAACCACCAGGTTCAAAAACTAGTCCAAATAGCCAAAAGTAGAGACTGGAAAAAATTCTGCGAAGGTATAAATAACCGTACAGATGCCAGAACGGTCTGGCGCAAAATCCACGCCATCAGAGGCTTAAAACGACATAAAAAAAACCCTAACATTGACAACTCAACCAACCCCGCCCAAAAAGCAAATAATCTCGCCAACCACTTTTCGGCCGTTAGCAGTAACACCAACTTCAGTAAAAAATTCCAAGATAAACTTAAAACAGAAAACAAACCCACAAAAGAACCAAACAATAACAATCTAGAAATAAATCAACCCTACACAATGGAGGAGCTCCTCTACGTAATCCAAAACAGGAAAAAGGGCACAGCCCCAGGATTAGACCTAACTTCTTACCAAATAATTAAAAAACTCCCCCTAAAACTACTCCAGGCACTACTAAAACTTTACAATCTCATCTACCTAAACGGACAGGTTCCTACTCCCTGGAAACAGGCCCTAGTCATACCAATCCCTAAACCTAATAAACCAGCTAATCAAGCTAACTCATATAGGCCAATATCCCTAACTTCAAACTTATGTAAAGTAATGGAATCAATGGCTAAAAATAGATTACAACATTACTTAACCCAAAATAACATCATAAACCCAGATCAAAGCGGTTTCACTCCTGGCGGCTCAACCCTAGATAACCTCACCCGACTAGAACAAGATATTAAGACAGGACAGCTAAATAAACAATATACCACAGGCATCTTCTTAGACTTCTCTAAAGCTTTCGACATGGTATGGCACGATGGGCTAATACAAAAACTTAGAAAAATAGGACTCAAAGGTCAGATAATAAACTACATCCAGGACTTCCTAAACAATCGTAAAATAACCGTGGGTATAGACCAAACTCTATCGGACCAATGTCCCCTAGAAAATGGTACTCCACAGGGCAGTATCCTCAGCCCCACCCTCTTCAATATAATGATAAACGATCTATTCGAGGGCCTATCCCCTAAAGTAAACACATCAAAATTCGCGGATGATGGAGCCATCTGGATCCGCACTAAAAGCATGAACATGGTCCAAAATTTACTCCAAAAATCTCTTAATAAAATACAACAGTGGGCTGACAAATGGGGCTTCTCCCTTAACTCAGAAAAAACAACAGGAATAGTATTCAAACATAAAAACATGAAACCCGCCTCCCCAATCCTCCAGCTAAACAATCAAACAATCAAATTTCAAAAACAAACCAAATTCTTAGGACTTATTTTCGATGAACATCTCACCTGGGATGCTCACATCCAAAACCTAACAACTAAATGCAGTAAAGACCTAAACACCCTAAGATGCCTAACTGGTTCTAAGTGGGGAGCATCCAAAGATACCCTCCTCTCTCTCTACATATCACTAATTAGATCAAAACTAGACTACGGCTGCGCCATA